ATTGAAAAAGTTTCAAATTACGACTTGAAGACAAAATTAATCTGGTTGTTCTGCTATGCAGCTCGGAGCAACTGCGTATTTACTAAAGTATCGAAGAATGATGTCAGTGTATTTATCTTTACTTTCGTACAAGTTAAAATATGTATTTTCAATCCTTTTTGCGTCGCAAGTTAATGTAAACACATTTTTAGAGTTTTTTTATACCACGGACGCGTAATTCTTTGATATTTTTCTTTAATCGTAAGCCGCTCGATACTGCGTTTGAAATATACATCCACTTAGATCGCTGAGATTGCTCAAAATACACTGCTCAATTTTCTACAAAATACGCTTTAAGAGTCGTATCTGGTGTTTTACAAACCAGCTGTACGTCTTCATTGATTTTTCATCAGCTACCTCTCATTTACCTTTTAGAAACTTCAAAACCCTCTATAAGATTTTAACGTGAAATCAACGATTTTTTCTGTTACATCGGTTAATGAAACAATGGGACATATACCAATGCTGGTATGCTGTACTGGTAATATTTTGTAGGTATATTTCCTAATAAATTTTATCTGGACTCGAGATGGGCTTCAATCGAATAAGCCTCGTATGTAGATTATAAATTAGAATATTTTAACCATATACTGCGCAATGTAGTATAGTCCTTTTCCATCATATTGATAGCACATTATGTATGCAAATCCTCAACAGGTCAAAAAACCATAGGCGTCACCCTATACTTGTTTTGAAATAAATAAAAAAAATTAATATTTTAAGATGCCGTCAACAATTCATTATCTTTTAAAAAATCTTCTGTAAAATAAGTGTCCACTAATCTCACTATACCTTTTTTGTGCGTAAAAAACGTCGGTATATATGCCACACTATTATTGTTAATTATACACGGGTGATTAACGGTGAATTCAATGTTTCACGAAATAAATTTATGTAAACAGTAAGTTAAAGGTGATTATTGTTTTCTATACGCCTGACGCCTGAGTTAGCGCCTGACACAAAAAGAATACCTTCTTTAAACGATTACCTGGAATTACTGATAAGGCTTCACTAATGATAGTTTAAGTAGTTTTTATGCCACATTACAGCTTATGCCAATAATATAAATTAGAAATTGTTTGCATCTTCCATTTAGTTTGTAGAAGTACATTGTTCATGTCTTACCTACCTACGTTTTTGGTGTCGATAATTTGTTATTTGCATTTAAAAATGACGTCGACAACAGGTTTTATCCCAGTTAAGTGTAGTTTTAAAGGTGCCTTAGTCTAAGAGAGAAAAATATAATATTAAATATAAACGATGCACTTGTACATCAACGCCCTTTAAGTAATGTTCGTGAAATCGTTAACATGTGTTCAAATATGACAGGGGTTGGAAAAGCCACAATTTATGGATTCCTAAAAAAAAGAAAAGGAGGAACTGTTTCATCTCCTAAGAAGAGTGGAGGGAGTAAACCCTTGGAAATATACATAAAAACATGATAAGACGCAACGTCCACTCATTTTTTTTTAACAAAGAATTTCCAACATTGGACAAAATCCAAACAATAATTAGAGAAAACGAAGAGTTACCAATCATAAGCAACAAGAAATTATGAGGACTATTGAGAGAGATGGGATTTCGTTGGCAAAAGAATAGAAGAAAATCTGTTTTAATTGAAAAGTAAAATTTAAGTGAAAAAACATTGTATGTTGGAGACGAGATTATCTAAGAAACTATTAAAAAGTACCGAGAAGAAGGGAAAACAATTTTTTATTTGGACGATACTTAGCTAAATGAAGGTCATACTGTACCATATCTATGGGTTAATACAAATGTGAAAAGTTCCCGTCAGGCATTCATCGAAGGTGTATCTACTGGAATAAACAATATTCCCGTTGGAAAAGGACGCAGACTCATAATAACCCATATTGGAAATGAATACGGTTTTGTCAATGGTGGATTATTAAGTTTTGCCTCAAAATTAACAAAGATTACCACGTGGAAATGACTGCTGACGTTTTTGAAGAATATTTTGAGCAAATGTTGGATTTAATTCCAAAAAATTCTGTCATAGTCATGGATAATGCTAGTTACCATTCAAGACTAGCAGAAAAATTGCCAACAACGGCATGGAAAAAAGGAGAGATAATTGAATAGTTGGATAAACACGCAATTGAGTACAAGTAGAATTCGACAAAAAAGGAATTATTACCTATTGTAAGGCAACATAAAGCAGCTTATAAAAAATATATAATTGATGAAATGGCATTAAACCGTGATGCAGTTATTTTACGTTTACCCCATACCACTGTGATCTGCATCCGATAGAAAATATATGGTCTCAAGTAAAGGGTGAAGTCGGACGCAACAACAAAACTTTTAAATTAAAAGACTTACAACAATTATTAGAACATTCCTTATCAAAACTAACTCCAGAAAATTGGTAAAAATGCTGTTAGTCATGCTCACAAGGAAGAAAATAAAATGTAGAATTTGGATAATATGACTGATGCAATGCTGGAACCGGTAATAATTAACATTGGAGTTGAAGATTCCTTAGATTCTGAAGAAACCAGTGAATCTAAAATGGAATTTGATTAACATAATATTCATTTTTTTACAAATCGGCCCCTGTTACGGCCACAAATTATTTTATATATAACCAATAAAATAAACATCTTACATTTCTTACAAATTCGTTAGTACCTGTTAATCTCCATCACTCCGACACTGGCAACTTTATTTAGGAATTAGTAACCCTCAAAACTATCGTATTCTATTCTGCTTCAACCTTTATACCTGGTGGTCATACTCAATTTAAAATTGTTTTCCTATATACTTCTGTAAACTTGTTGACAAACATCTATTTTTCATTGAGTCACCGTATCAACAGTTTAGGGACTTGCATACATAATGTGCTATCAATATGATGGAAATGGACTATAGCTCTGCTTCAACCTATTTGAATAATCGTTTCCTTAGAATGTGTGTGTTTGAAGCCGTTGCTGCGCTTCGTATTAAATTTGATATTTCCTTACGTACTAGAAAATAAGGTTACATATCCCGCAATATTTTAGTTCGCGCGTAAATTGTGTTAGTCGTCTGGCAAGTGTCTATTCGCATTGAGCACGTGTTATTGTTTAAAAGGTAAGTTATATGAATATAGATCGAGTTAATTTATATTTTTATAAGTAATATTTTCAAAATTTGTCTCTTTTTACCGTTGTATCAGATCTGATACATCGCCGTTTCTACAGGGTTATTATGGATAGTAAAAGAGCTTTGTCGTAGCGTGAATTAGAGGAGTTGGCAGCAAATTTTTTGAAAATGGTGACGACTTGTACACTAGCGATTATGAAGAATATTTTAGAAATGGGACCAACTTGTATCCTGATATGTTGATATTCAAAGCTTACCAGTAGAATATGAACATGTGATTACTCTTATAGAGTCTCCAGACCCACAAATAGAACCTATTGAGGAGCCTACTATCGTCAATGTGGATGTGGAGTTTGAGCCAATCACTAGTCGAATCAAAAATATACTGTGGAAGAACATACCAACCTTCCTAATGCTATAATGGATTTGTCAACACCCTACGCTTTTTTTGAAGTACTTTTTCGACAATTATTTGATCGAAAAAATTGTATCAAAGTTCAATACATATGTTATTCAAATGTATGCGAGTAAAACTGCTGGACTGACCACCGTAGATATAAATCAATACCTATGAATTTGCATCTATATGTCCATAGTTTACATGACCAATTGTCGTAGTTATTAGACCAATTCACTGGACTATCCAGTGAATTTATCAGGAAATGTATACATTTCAGCGACAAATCTGAGTTTGGATCAAAATTATGGGGATGGAGATCGTCTTCATGAATGATGGCCCCTTTTCGATAATGTGAATAACAAATTCCAAAGCATACCATTGGAACAAAAACTTTCAGTAAATGAGCAAATGTGCGCCTCAAAAAAAGGTACTACATCAACCAATACTGCCTGCTAAATCCCACAAGTGGGGATACAAACTTTTTATTTTATGTGGTGTTAGTGGATATTCCTACAATTTCGAAATATACACCGGTACAGAAAACGATAAAAGGAATCGTCGGGTAAATGAACCACACCTAGGAGCAAGTGCCAATGTAGTTGTCAGATTATCTAGGATTATCCCGGAAAATCAGAATTATGTTGTTTACTTTGACAACTATTACTAACAAGCTCCTATAAAGAAGGTAGAAAAATGTATAAAACTTGCCGATTTTCGGGCTAAAGTGGCATATTGCTTATGCAACGTTGGAAGTATCTGTTTACTGAAGAGAGAAAGACCATCAGATCTTGAAAAAGAAATAGTGGAAAAAAGAAAAGGTCAGCAACAACTACTTATATTCCTCCAAGAGCCGTAAGGCAAGATGCGAAAATGTTCAAAATAATCAGTGTTCAAAATTGGACTATATCTTAAACTGAACAAAAATAATTGTTTTCATAAATTCCATTCAACTTAGATATTTAGTTATTATAACATATTATACTTATTAATAATCTATTAAATTCTGTTTTGCCAAAATTTCCGCTATATATCATATTATATAATACAAGCTTTTTCAAAAAATCAATGTTTTTTTGAAAGCCATTATTTTTACAATTTTTAGGCATAAATTTATACAATTAAAAATATTTTTTTTATTACAATACAAAATATCGCGCTATAGGGTTAAAAAATGACAACATTGTTAATGATTAATGATCGTTATTTTAATATTTATATATAATTTCGCGAAAGAGCACGATTGCGGTATTGATCTCTGCAAAAAAGTCCAATGAACTACCCTATAAATAATGTGGAAAAAATGTCTACATAGATATAAAATAAATTGAATCTTTATCTTTAAGTATCTGTGACGATTTACACATGTATTCTAATGTTTATTTAAGATAATATTTATATGGAACGATAAACCCATTATTAATACGATGTGCTAATAAATAAAAATAACTTTAAAACCTACCTAAATATTTCACCTTAAAAGTTAGAGGAAGATCCTTAAAAGAAATTGCGGGTTCACTATCACTCATCTTGAATTTTTAATCCGGAGATAACAACAACAATATGTAAACTAACACAGTCACAAAATAATTATTTAACAATAAATTAAACAGCAGACATGCTTCTATGTAGGTACTAAGTTCGTGGTTCACTGCAAAGGTAACATCTGTTTTTTTATTGCCGGGTACTCAAATGGTTCCGGACTGACAGTTATAGGTTCCCCCTTATTGTTTTGCACCTGTTGTTCACTACTGACAACTGATACATGCACCTTATCTCTCATATATTTCATATCAAAACCGTGAACTGTACAGGGACGTACTTTAAGAAGGGTTCATTTAATTTGTTCAAAATAAAGTGGTTCGGTAATATAATTCTGAAACTGTTTTTGTGGCATGTCTATATTTACTACTATATTTAATTGAAACATGAAAAAAATATATAGAAAGACAAATTTAAAATAACAACAAAGAAAAATGTAAAGGAAACAGACAAAAATAGGCTATAAGAAGTTAATTGTAAACGTGAAGGAATGGAGATGGGATGAAAAAAACGACAATAAAAAAGAAAATACCTAAATAAAATTGCGAAAAAAATAGTAGAAAAAAAAGCAACTGTGGTGGTATGATACCGAAACGGCATGAAAAAGGAATACGACTATCGAAAACGGAAAATAAGCAAAAAAGAAAAGCAATAATCCAAGCAAATATTAAAAATTGGGAGATGGAATGTAAGTGGAAGTACTTATGAGCAAGGCGCTTTAACTTATTTATTTGCATGATATTTTTGTTCTAAATAATATTGATTTTAATGTACCTATACTTTTGCTTGTTACATGCATCTAAAAAAGATTCCTAAAGGTTCCTAAAAAAAACTTTTACGACTCTTAACTCTTTCACTACGGTAATAATATAGGAATGTAGATCTGTGCGGAAATATTTTTTTGCGTATACTCAAATATGATTTATGAATTATGTGAAGGTAATCGGTTGATAATTTACTGCTGATGGCCATTTTACTTACTTTTTGTTAGACGCGAATTCGCGTCCTCCGCACATTTTTGTAAATTTTTTATAAACTACGGAAAGCGCGAATTCGCGGCTGAATAAAAGTTAATAAAAACTAATTATGCTTCAACGAACTTATTTTGTAGCTCAAAAATATTGTGTCAAGATTAAATAATACTAAAAAAATATGCAAAATTATTTTTTATTAAAAAAGATACAAAAAAAAAACACAAATTTATATCAAATAACATAAAAAGAAAAGTAAATAATACGTAAAATTCAACTAATTTTCTTTATGGTACTAAACAAAACATGCACCCATAGATAGTCCGGGGTGGTCTGGACAAGAAAGACAGTGAAACAAAGTGTCTTTTCGTAGCTGCTTTCTTGTGCAGATACGGCATTTTTTACGCATGGTGTGACCTTTTCCATTTGTTGTATTAATTTTAATAAACATATGTTGGGAACTTTTCACGTTACTTATAGTTACTGATTCGGATTCTGGTAACAACCGTTCTAAAACTGACGTTCTAAATTTACCAAGACTCATTTTTTGAACGTGATACTTATATATAATATATGTGAATTAATCATCATCATTTGGAAAATGTGGATGCCTAATTTATTGTACCACCGTAAAGTCTTTCGAATTACTGGATAGTACGCCATTTGTTGATCCTGATGATCTACACCACCCATATACTTATTATATTTGACCTGATAGGTTGTGGATTTTCCTTTTCAACACCTCTTCGATTCGTCACTATCATTATACGATTTTCAAATTCTGAAGATATGTAAATTACATCCCTCTTGTCACGCCACTTACTAGATTGACTTGATATGCACTTCGCGTGTGCCGCTGGTAAATAATCAAACTCGGTGTGAAAAAACTGACTTTATTGAATAAACAATACATAAATATAACGCTAATAAGTATTGTTTCGCTCGCTGGTGTCCACCGGCCTCGACTTCTCGTATTTGAGTGCTGTCGTCTTTGGGGTGCTTTTAGTGGCTCGTCTTATCTTCACATGTGGCATAATATACCTTCCTACGCTACTATGTTGCCGGATTTTAAAATGCATAAAATAAACTAGAATTAGATAGAGGCGTGAACATTTACCAATCATTATGTTATCGAGATACATAGCCTGGCTTACACCTTTCTTTAATTTCGTGCGAATAAATTCGTTTAGAAAACCCTTTCTATCTTTACGTAGCGTTTCCGTGCAGTAAGTCTTTCTATCACGTAATATTTTTGCCAACTGGAAACTATTATAATAGTTATCCATGAAAACTGAGTGGCCTTTGTCTAAGTAATCGCTCAGTAAATGCATTACTACTTTTTTGTATGGTCTTTACCTCCTAACAAGTCACGTTCGCCACTATTTGGAAGATATTGTTTGAAGATGTTTTCCTTTTTATAAATACCTGTCCCTACTGATGTAGTTTGAAAAACAAGTTGCTAATAGTCTGTTTTTACCAGTAATCTTGTAACTCAGGAAGTTTGACAGTACCAGTATGTAAAGTTAATCCTAAGAACACAAGGAACTCTTTTACTGTCAGTTCTTTCCATTCGGCGATTCTCGATCTCGAAAATTAACGCCAACGTATGGGGATGAATTCCATTTAGAGGAATGGAATGGTATGGCGTATTGTTGGCAGATTTGTTGGGCAGACTTATTTGAATATTCTAGAACATATCACGTTTGCCAGTGTAGAACAGTTGTATCCAGAAAATAATTTTATCCTACAACAAGATCTTTGTCCTGTTAACACTGCAAATATAATAAACCAGTGGCTCCAGAATAACAATATCGAAACCTTACAATGGCCCAGCTACAGTCCAGATTTAAACCCAATAGAGAATGTATGGGGGGTTATTATAAAACGGTTATATCGGCGTAATTTTATACCTCAAAATGCTGAAGAGCTGTGGCATGGTATACAACAGGTTTGAGAAGAACTCTCTGAAGAATACAATGTTATAGCTTCTTTCATGCAGATGGACCGAAGACTACAAGCCATTATCAATGCTGATGGAGATATTATAAAGTATTAATTTTATTTTTATATTTAGTTTTTATACCTAATTTTAGTCTAGTTTTTGATAGTGCCGAGTTATCTTTTAATTACGTTACAATGCTTGCTTTAATATATTGTTAAGTCGTTTGTTTTAGTTCTAAATAATAATAAAAATAATAACAACAACCCTATTTTATGTAAAAACTATCACTTATATTACTACACTTTATAAAATGCAGGAATTCAAAATAATCAAAATTTAGATCTTCATAATTATTACAATTTATGAATTAACATAATATATAAAGTTATTTGTTTATTTTATTATTTTTCTGTCATAATAAATATAATATAATGTCAGACCAATTAAATACACTGCTCATAATGATCAAATTTTACTAAAAGTCGTATCAGTTTTTTCACGTAATCAGTTACGTAATCAGTTTCGTAATCAGCTCTACAATACAACCTGTAAGTAGGTTTTTATGAAATAGACATAAATAAAATTTGACTTAAATAATGTACTTAGGCAACATTGTGATGTTTAAAAATTTGACACATCTTTTAACTGAATATTTATTTATTGGGTATATGACAATACAGTTTATTTACCATGGTACTTTATATAAAACACTCCCTTTCCAAACGAAATGGGGTTTTGCATTTGATGCAAGTCTATCTTGTACGAAGATGACATATTCTGCTTCGTAGTTCTTTATCAATTTTCTGAGAAAAACGACCACCTGAATCTTTACGAATACTAATTGTGACGGCCGCTGGATATCTGGAATGGAAAGCTTTGTCAAATACTAGCATATACTGTCTACAGATGATTTTAACAAAATTTAGCAGATCGACTTTGTTACTTGCAAGTAAATACAACCTCTAGGCATTTATTACTGAAACATTTATTTACTATTTTATTTATTTAATACACGGGATAATCCTATTAATAGTTTAAATTACAATATAGAATATCACAGTTGGGATTCAAAACATGAAATTACTTATAATATAAAATCAATATAAAAAAGTTTTAAAAAGTTTAAAACATGAGATTTAAAATCTTACATACTAAAAAAACACAAAATATAACAAAAACAAAATTCAACAATCCCAATATACATACCACTAAGCAAAAGAACTTTTTAACTGAGTTAAAGTTATATTAAAAATATCAAAATCAAGTACGTTTAATATCCCCACCCCATGTACCTATCCAATGGGTTGTAAATACCATAGGCTATTCTGTGGAAAGGAATATTGAAAACATTGTGGTAACGTAGAGTTTAATGGGGAACATTAAAGTTAATCTGACTTAACAGGTTTGGACAATCAATAAATCCATGTATGATCTTATATAAAAATATAGCTCCTTACATTCTTGTCAGGAGCTTTCTCTTTTTCTTTAATCCGCAATCTCCGCAACGAAGGTTAGCAATCATCATTGCTATTTTTACCTTTAAGGCAGCTGCTCTGAACAATTGCCTTGAGCTGCAACCAAATCACTCTCTCAGGTTCTTCAACCAGAAAACGCGTCTTCTTCCTACGCTTCTCCTCCCCTATATTTTTCCTTGAATTATGAGTCTGAAGATGTATCTTTCGCCTCTCATCACATGTTCGAGATATTGCAATTTCCTTTCTTTTATTGTATTTTCAATTTTTCTCCCTCTGCCTATTCTACTAAATACTTCTGTAACGTTCTATTCGTGACTCTATCTACCCATGAAATCCTTAACAATCTAATGTCCACATTTCAAATGCGTTAAGTCGATTAAGTCTTCCAAGTTATCGACTATTATTACTGTATCTTCATAATAGCCGATAATAGCTAATTAACAATATTAGGCCTACCTAATGTTGTTAATTAAACTTTCGTTCACTTCTATGCCGACTGTCTCGTTTACAAAAGCTTCTTGTATGATTTCTACAGTCTGCAAGACATGACCCCTCTCCTTATCTCCACTTTTGTGCACTCTATAAAGCATACATAAAGATCTCGATTATCATCCAGTGACATTAGGACACGTGGAATGATTCCTGTGGAACAGACTGTGTTCAGTAGTTGGTCTAAAAGATTTATGTTTTTTCATTGACCAGTTTTAACAATTCACTTGGTATTTCATCTGGACCAGCAGCTTTATTATTTTCATGGACTTTACTGCATGCATAACTTCTGACTTTGTTATTTCGGGTCTCTTGTCTTTACTCTGATTATCTTCATATATATTTTCCTGTGTCTGATCATGGAATAATTCCTCTATATATTCTTTTAATCTTCCCAATTTTTGTTCCGTCTTCACTAATATGTTTCCTTGTTTGTCAAATAGTATGCTTGGGGTTTTTTGTTTTGCTACCCCAGCTAATTTTTTAACTTTCTTATGGAGATTAAAGTTATTAAATTTGTTTTCTATTTCTTGGCATTTTCCAGCGAAATATTTCTCTTTAGCTTCTCTTATTTTCCTTCTTATTTGATTATGCAGCTATTGATACTGAGTTATGTTGATATTCTTTTGACTTCTTCTGTCCTCCATCATTTCCAAGATTTCTTCTATCATCCAGTGTCCTTTTTTGCATCTGGTTGTTTTGGGTACTCTGCGACTTGGTTCGATAATTGCATTTTTAAAGAATTTCCACTGTTGTATTACACCACCATCAATTGATTCCGGTGTGGATTCTAAGTTTGCATTAATTTCTTGTTTCAGTTTTTCTTTGACGTCTTCTAATTTTAATTTTTTTATGTTTAGTTTATCACTTTTGTAGCTTTTTGTATCTTTTTTAAGTGAAGTTTGAATTTTGCTACAAGAGGATTGTGGTCTGCACCTGGGTACGTTTTTACCGATTGAATTGCGTTTCGGCATCTGTGGTTTATAAAAATATAGTCAATTTGGTTTCTAATGATTTTATCGACTTTGTAAGCTGGCGATTTCCAAGTGTAAAGGCGTCGTTTAGGCAGCTTAAAGAAAGTACTAATTTTAGAGGCAATTTAAAGAAAGTACTAATTTAATTTCCCATTATTGTGAGTCTCATAATGCCTACAACTCATTTTGCAACTTTTTTACTGACATTAATTGCTACTCCATACCGATGTTGGCTGTCCGTACTACTAGAGTAGAAAAATCGACCATTGGTTGTACTTACTTTACGAGACTATGTCGATCTTAAATCGCATAATTTTTTGTTCTATGTTCCTTAGTTTACCAGGCTCATACATGCTTCTAACATTCCATGTCGCTGTATTAAAAGTTGAATTTTGTATTTTTAGTACGCAGGGATTTCGTTTGTTAACGACCTGAGGAGCCCTGTCATCATTGTTATTTCTCCCCCTGCCGAATCTTGGCATCCGAGAACCATAATTAGTAAGGTGATGCTTGTCACTAACTGCAATTACGATTTCTAGGGGTACTCTACGAGTCTTTAATGCAGTGGTTTTCCGTTGCCTTCTGCATCCTTATGCCGGTGACCATTCCTTGGTTCATCCGCCTTCGAGATAGATTTCTCTATTTTAGGACAAAATAGTGCCCTTAAATCTACCAGCTCCTCCGCCCGAAATCGTTGGCCAGTATTTGACGTGATTCAATATCAACCCTAAAATCGAGGGTTGCCACTTACGCCATCCGCACCGTACCGAAGTTTTGCTTCTCTGATGGCTGCCGTTGTGGACTTCATCCGTAACCCTGGACAAGGGTTTTCCAGGTCAGGAAACCCCCGAAATCTGAAGAGGACAGGGATTGATTCATTTTGTTCATTTTCCTTGATAGGATTATCTTCAAGAATTTAAAGAATTCCTACCCGCTACCCGCTGTCAGGAGCTATATTATATAGGTATTTTATATATAACTGTCTCCTCCGAAGACTCTTGAGTGAGGGTAAAGATAATTGTTGTTTAATGCGGGAACAATACGGGAATAATTATGATTTTTAATAGTAATATCGACATGGTAAGCACAATATCTTAAACATTTATTCTGCGCTGGACTCTTTCTATGGTCTCAATGTTTTGTACCAGAACAGAGAGAAATTTGCCATATTGATTTCCAACCTTAACAGAGAAGGTACTTTGGAGGAGGAGGATTGAAATAGATTTTATGTGATCACAGAACGTAATCTTCTCATCAAAAATTACATCTAAATTCTGAATAGATGAAACATAATTTAATGGATGAATATTAACAGTATAGCTTGTTTCAATTCTATTTGTTATGAGAAAGAATGTATAAAATAAGAGTTTATATTTAAGTGGCGTTTGTTCTGATTGTACCAATTTTGAAGTCTGTCTAAGTCGTTTTGCAGTAAGGCTTGATCTTTTAAGCTATCTATAACTTTACAAAATTTTAAGTTATTTGCCAACATTAGACATTTGCTATTTAGGAAACAGAAAGTGATATCGTTAACGAAGACAGTACATAGAAGTGAAAAAGTGTGGCCTCCTAAAGGAACTCCAAATATTACTGAGATACTGTCACACAAATGACAACCTATCTTGACTCTTTGACTTTTACCAGATGTAGAGTTTTTAATCCATTCAACAAATCTAACATGAAAGCCTATATTAATTAATTTGCCCAAAAGTATTTGGTGATCTATACGATCAAATGCTTGCGTGCGTGCGTGCTTGCATGCTTGGATTTTTTGTTATAACAACCATGTTATGATTGAGATATTAAGCCTTTACATAACCCAGAAAGTTGCTTTGCTATAATACAGTCGAAAATTTTAGGGATTGTAGATTGTATACAAATGCTACAATAATTTTCAATGTTGTCTTTCTGAATATATTTAAATACAGGAACAATATAACTTTCTTTCCATTGAAAAGGAAACACAAAGGTTTTCATAGATCTGTTTAACAATATAACAAATGACATTACAAAGGTACAGACACACTTTTTTAATAAAAAATTAGGCACTCCATGTGGACCAGCAGTAAGTTTTTTGGGCAGCTCATTTATGTCATTAAAAATATCGGTCATGATAATCTTAGAAGGATAAACATTTGTACTAAAGTAGACCAAATTATATTATACATTTTAAAGTACATAGATGATTTAGTAATTAGAAATTAAAAAAAAAAACTAGTGTCTGCTGCGATCGAACGGTAATTCCTAGCCACTGATCCGTGCAGTGCATTGCCATAATATGATATAAGTATTAGTTGAGTATTCAGTGATTATTTAGGAATAGCTTCTATTGAAAAAACAACAAAAACACAATCTACTGCATACGCAACCAATCAGTCGAATATCATACCACAGCTAAAATATATTTATTGCTTTTCTTAATCCATATTTATACATGTTATGCGTACTTCTATGTATCTGATACACCTTTTGTTTGCATCAAATACCGATAACACCATTACCAAGTATTTGTAATCATGGTAAAGTGAACTGATAATGACTAATCCAACATTTACATAAAAGCCCAAAACAAACGTGTGTGTATGGCCTCAGTGTGACGGATGCACATGGATGAACAAAAAAAATTCCGTCGCGGCCAAGTGATGAATGTGTAACAAAGTTCGTGAATTGAATCGCGATTTGTCATTCAGCAGTAGTTGGTAATTGCTCTTTTTATCAAAATATTGTTTAGCATTTTCAAGCATAACATAAGTACTTTTGTTTATCCGTATATTATTTATACATGTGTAATTAAATTGTATTTTTTATAACAATAATGTATTGTACATAATATAAAAAAGTACCGTTAAAGTATTTGCAAGGTGTGTAAAAAAATGTTCAGATCTTTTGTGCCCATTGCGAAATAATTACCTCCAGTAATTTCTTTCATTCTTCTCTGTTTTTTGATATGTTCATCATTCTTCTTCTTCTTACGGTGCCTATCCGTTCCGGATGTTGGCAATCAACATGGCTATCTGAATAGTCCGGTTGTCGATGTATTAAACCACTTTCTGAGGTTTTGAAGCCAAGATATTCTTCTTCTCTCTGGTCCTCTCTTTTCAAATACCTTGCCCTAAAGAATAAGTTGCAACAAGCCGTAACTCTGTTCAATCCTCATAACATGGCCAAGATATTCTAGTTTGCGCTCTTTGATGGTGTTAATGATCTCGCATTCCTTGCCTATTCTACGTAGGACCTCAACATTAGTCACACGATCCACTCATGAGATTTTTAAGATACGTCTGTAACACCACATCTCGAATGTCTCGAGTTTTCTTAAGGAAGCTTCGGACTCTTCAGGCCTCTACTCCGTATAATAAGGTAGAAAATACATAGCATCTAATGAGAGAGATTTTTGTAGCAAGTGGTAAATCATGACTTCTGAAACGAGACTTCATCATTATGAACACTGATCTCGCTTTTCCTATGCGTTGTTTTATTTCACTGGAGTGATCCCATTGGCTGTTAATGTTGGTACCAAGGTATTTGTAGCTGTTCACTCTGTCAATTGGATGTTGGTTAACCAAAAGCTGTGTATTTAATATTTCGCGCTTACTGACTACCATGTACTTTGTTTTACTTCGTATTAAGATCAAGTCCGTGTTCTCTACTTATATCTGATATACGTGACATTATTCTTTGCAAACCGTCCAGACTATCTGCAAAAACTACTGCGTCGTCGGCATATCTAATGTTGTTTAGACGCATTCCGTTGACTAATACGCCTTCTTGTAGTTCTCCCAGCGCTTGCTCGAAGATATATTCAGAGTATATATTAAATCACACCGGGGACAGAATGCATCCTTGTCTCACTCCTCTATCTATGGAGACTGCCTCTGTCAATTGATCATCCACTTTAATATTGGCTGTTTGGTTGTAATATAAATTATAGATGATTCTCAAGTCCCTATCATCTAACCCCACTTCTTTCAAGATGTTTATAAGTTTATCATGTTTTACTCTATCACATGCCTTTTTATAGTCGATAAAACAAATATACACATCGCAGTTAACATCCCTGCATCTTTGCATATGTACTTGGACAGCGAATAGAGCCTCTCGGGTGCCTAAGGAATCGCGGAATCCAAACTGCGTCCATGATACTTGTTCTTCGCATTTTTTATATATTCTGCCGTGTATCACCTTCAAGAACGTTTTAAGTAAGTGGCTCATTAGGCTAATTGTTCTGTAGTCTTCGTATGTCTTGGCATTTACTTTTTTTGGTATGGTCACGAAGGTCGACTTTAACCAGCTTTGGGGTATTTTTCCAGTTATATATGTGTTGTTGAATACAGTTGTTATCCATTTTATTCCCTGTTCATCCATAAGTTTAAGGAATTCTGCACAAAACTCGTCAGGCCCTACCGCTTTACCATCTTTACTTCTTTTAATAGCTGACGTGACTTCTTCGGTAATCGGGGGTCCTGTTTGGCATTCAGTGTCTTCAATGGCAGTCTGCCTTTCATCTGCAAAAGTTACTTCCACATAATTCTTCGAAGTGTCTAGTTTTTCTTCCACAGTTAACAGTGGTTTGCTTTGGTTATCTGCCAAACATCCAACTCTTCTAGGTTTGTATAAGCCTGCGGCTTCTTTAACTTTTTTGTGCATATTAAATTTATCGTGTTTATGTTGAAATTGCTGTATTTCCGAACACTGTTTTCTTATATGTGTATCCTTAGCTATTCTAATAGATTTTTTGATCTTTTTATCGATTCTTTTGTATAACGACATGTCTTGATATTTGAACTTTCGCCTCTCTTCCATCATATCTAGAATCTCATTTGTCATCCACGATTTCTTCTTAATTTTTGGTGGTTTGAGAAATTTCTCTCGTATGTCTTTTGAAACTGTATGTAACTTTTCTAGTTCCTGGTCCATTACATCCGATTGAATAACGGTATTTAAATTGTTCTGTATATACCGCTTTACACTATGTTCTGTGTGTTGGTCCTTTAATAGCTTGATGTCGAATTTTGGATTGACACTACGTCTAACCTTCTTTAGCCTGAGCCTAATTTTGCCAATCAGTTTGTTATGGTCTGATTTGATATCAGCTCCTGGGTATGTCTTGACTGATGTTATGCTGTTCCGGAATCTTTTATTAATCAGAATGTAATCTATTTGATTTCTCACTTTGCGGCCTGTTCATGTTCATCATAATCAGGCATTTATATATACTCGTAGAATTTTTCATATAAAAATTCAAGATTTACGACGTCAGAACCCCCAGTGCCTGTTTAACATAGTTTGCCGCCCGGTGCTGATACGGATGCCGTGCCCAGGCTCGAAAACATTTCTTAACTTCATTTCAATTCAACAAAACATATTTTGAATGCAAGATTATTAAAATAAGGAAAACAATTACAACTTTTTTTGGTTTCAAACTTAAAGTAATACTAACAAAATACAAGAAAAAAAATTTAAGGCGAATTTCAACAAGTAAAATAAAAATGTACCTAATAACATTCAAACAAGTAACATGAGGTAGGTAATCAAATACCTTTACTATTGAAAAGCTTGTTTTTCTGCTTTTACTGAAGCGAAGTTTTCGATGATATCATTAATATTTAATTCCTTTAGCAGGTCCTCGTTTATGGATAAAACTGCTAAGAAGTACATTTCTTAAGTAGGTCTTTACCCTTTTTAGTGTCGAAAGAGAGCGTTCGCCACTTGCACCTGTAAGATGTTAAGTTATTTCGTATAAAACCTTTAATAATTCTAAATGAGTGTCTATTTTCTATTGGGGAAGAGACATTAACAAATGCTTTAAATGAACACATTCTTGGGTAAATTACTCATCCAAATCCTCCTTGTAGTTTTGATGTAATTCGGTTGATGGTCTGAAAATATCTTCATTTTGTGTATGTTAATATAGGTCTAATTGCTGCTTTATAGATTCTTGTTTTTGTGTCTTGTCTTAGGTGTTTGTTCTTCCAGATTGTGTCATTAAGAGAACCCATCGCTTTACATGCTTTTAAGCTTTGTTGCCGTACTTCTCTTTAACATCTCCGTAACTAGTTGTATCTATTCCCAGATATCTAAACCTTGCTTCCTGCTTTATGATTTTCCCATTAATTTCGATTTTACACCGTAGTGGGTATTTAGATGTTGTCATACATTATCTGATATTATCATATTGTATTTCTTAGCTGTTGTATTGAAGATATGTGTTAATCTTTGGAGCTCATCTTCTGTCTCGGTGATTAATGCGGCGTCGTCTGCATAACATAATATTTGGATTTCTTTGTTACCCATTCTGTAGCCATGACCTTTACGTACTGCATGTACTATTTCGTCCATTATTATATTAAGAAAAGTGGGCTCAACGAGTCACCCTGTCTGACTCCGCTTTGTACTGATATACACTCTGTTAGTTTTCCATTTATCTTTGCCTGTATTCAATTATGGAGTTAGATGTTTTCGATGGTTTGTATAATATTGATTGGTATGTTTCTTTTATATAGTAGGTGTAAGATGTCTTTGACTTGGATGTGATCGAAAGCCTTTGTCAGGTCTATAAAACATAGGTATGCTGGTTTATTGTAATCGATGGCCTTTTCTGTGATTTGTTTTAGTACAAATACGGCGGTTAGGACTTTTGTGGTAAGCTTAAGTGCGGTGTTCAGTAGATTTATACCTCTATAATTGTTGGGATCTTCTTTATTTCCTTTCTTGAACATTGGTATCATTATGCTGTTTCTCCATGCGCCTGGTATCATGCAGTGCAATATTAGTTTTTGTATAAGTTTTGTCATCTCTAAGGTTATACTTTCTCCTTTGTATTTTAGAAGGTCGTTGGTTATTCCGTCTGGTCCTGGTGACTTTCTATTTTTGAGCGAGTTTATGGCTATTTCTACTTCCTGAAAACTGATTTTTATTTCGTGTCTTAATTCAGGTACGTTTTTGGGTTGATTATTATTTTCCTTTGCTTCTGTCAGGTATCTTTCCCATTCGTTTGCTGGTATGTTATTGTATTCCTTCAATTCTGCCATTTCTTTTCTTTGGTTTTTTATAAATCTCCATATTTTTTTTGTGTACTGTACAAGTCGCTTTGTATCCTTTATGTAAACTGTTTCCAGTGTTCATTTTTTGTTCTTCTTACCAACTGCTTTGTTTCATTTCGTATTCTTCTATAGTTGTCTCCGGATTCTGGGGTATTTGCCAGGGTGAATTTAGAATATCACTCCAATTTGAGATATATGTAATTATATACTAACTGAAAATAAAAGATGATAGGAAACAAATAAAAAATCTGAAATGCTTTATACATTATATATTATACTACTACTGTGTTATCCCAATCCTATACTTATGTACACTAAATAATTATTAAAATATATTCCCAAAAATATATATTTACAAAAGATAACAGTTACTAAAAATATGACCCAAAAAAATATATATCTACAAAAGTTGGATCTAACAGTCGTCTAACAATGAGGAAAAAGGTAAGTTAATAATATTTAAATAACTTACATGGAGTAAATGGTAATTAAAATATCATTATACAATTACAAAGGGCAGGTTAAAAATCTGAGACTAGTCAGTTAAGATACTTGAACAATACATAAATCAATTCAATATGTGAAAATACATACAAATGACCATCCAATTGGATAATATCCTGACAACTTATTAAGTGTTATGTAAAATATTAATA